CTTACCTTTATGAAGGAGAATCATAAATATCTGGACTGCCAAAACCAGTTTTTCTATTATGCTCCTTTCTAAGCTGGCAATATGATCTGTGGTGCGAGCAGGTGGAAGAATTATAAAAACAAATCTCCATTTCTAGGATGGAAAATTAGCAATTCTCTCAGAAGAGCTTCAGCGTAGGGTTGTCTAGAGCAGTGGTGGCCACTTTCCAATGTTTGTGCTGCCCTTCTGATCTAAAGTACCTTGTGTATGGCTGCTCTTCAGTGCCTGCAGCTGGGGGACGCGCTGAAGGACATGGCACGAAGAAAGGTGTGAAGCTGAATTTCTAGATTTATACATGAGTTTTAGAATTCTACTTGGTTTTATTTGTATCAAGGATCTCAGTTCTGAATTAACAATCTGAATTAACAATCTACTTGGTTTTATTTGTATCAAGGATCTCAGTTCTGAATTAACAATCTGAATTTTAAGTTACCTTTCCACTGAAAGTAGTACATATATGTTCATCATGAAGTCTTCTACCTAGCATGCACCAAAACCATCACTCTCACACACACACACAAAAAAAAAAGTTATTTCCTGGCTGTAGAAAGCAATACCTATAGGCACGTTTTACTATGGTAAGAGATCATTTGAAAACATACATTTATAATGTGCAAATATGTATACATTGTGAAATTGTAAACACGACGCAAATCATGAGCAAACCAAGTGATCTCTCTTAAAGGTACCTTATAAACCAAACTGCTGAATGGAATGGTTGCAGAGGGGGGGAAATACTCTTTTTGTTTTCACGGACTGCATTGATCGCTGGACTGTGAGCAGGGGCAGAGCATCCACGGTCAGTTGTGCACCAGGAAAGAAAACAACTGCAAAGAGGAGAGGCAGGTTGAGTGTTGGAGCGAAGAAGTTTTATAACATTTTTTTCCCCTTTCTGAGCTAGGGCAAAACCCACTCATTTGCTGGACTAGGATTTCATCATTAACGCGTAGGTCCTGTAGATTATGCCATAGCAACTGGAGCGAGAGTGGCAGGACCTGCAAAGATTGGGCAATCTTCATCTGTTCTTGCTCTGGGAGCTAGAACCTGTTAGATTTGAACCTGTCAGATGTTACCCTGTGCTGTGTCCTGACTCTGGTACATATAGCTGAAACGAGGCAGTTCTAATTAGATAAATAAGTCTTGAATTCTAACATGGTGCTGACACAGACATAAGGCAAACAACCAGAAATATGTGAAAATAACTTCAAAGCAGAATTGAAACAATGTAAGTAGACGACAAGAGCATTGATATTACTGAGCCCAAAGCAATACTTAATTAGCTTGCTTTATTTTTTCCTTGGGCTCTATTTCAAAATAAATTCAGGCTTCAGTAAGAACTTGAAATGAACCATTGATTTACTTCTCCAGAGTCTTGAGGAAAAGGGAGACTTAATTTAAAGACAGGAATTTAACACAGATGAAATATGGCCTTTCTGTGTGGAAAAAGAACATAGATACAGTGCAACAGTGCGGGCTAGATTTTAAATCAACCCCTTGCACGTGAGCTGCGATGTGGGCATTTCAACCTGACCCTGGCTCAGGTTGAATCACAGCTGCAGTTTTCTGGGAGGAGGTTGGTACCACCGTGATCTCCTGCTTCCAGCTGTGCTCTGCTGAGCCGTGCAGCAGGAGCCGGTGGTACGGTCCTGGCCCTGGGCAGGACAGACTCACCCGTGCACTTGTTCGGGCTCTGCTGGGCTCCTTGGGCTTGGCCCAGGTGGAAATCAGAGCAAATTTGAGCCTCTTCTCGATAATGCTTGCCTTCAGAAATAGCAAGAGAACTATAATCCTACCACTGCGTCTAACCATCTACATGTATTTTATACGGTGTTTAGAGTTTGGAAGTATGTATGTGCGTGCAGGCATTAACAGTTACGTTTCTGATTTCTGCATGGAAATATTATTTGTTAGCTCTGTGCTGTAAGTACAAATAAAAGAGTAATCATCTTTGTGCTTTGTGTATACGTGTGATTTGCATTTCCTGTGCTTTGCACAGTTGAACACTTGGCATTTTTGTCTCAAACATAAAACTGTAAGTAATGGTGTTTTGAATTCTGTGGATTGAAAACAATAAGCTGTTATCAAAAGCCCATTTGGAGAAGTGCAATTTTCTGATTTTAGAAGCCAGGAAAACCCAATTCTGGCCCCACTGCAGTGACAAATATGCACTTAGCTCAGTGTACTTTCAGTGGGCGTTAAACTGTGTAATAACCTTACAATTATGATCTTTGAAGATGTTCTGCATTAAGCATTTAGAATGGTGGAAGGAAACATTAATTCATAGAGGGGCGTGTGTCTCTCCTTATACACATACATCTCCATGGATGAAGAGCTTATTTGTGTCAGGAAGCTTTCCAAAGGATGGTGTTGTGTGAACTGAGGTTCTTTCCAAAAGCAGAGATACTGGCAGAATTGAGCCCAGCTGGATGCTGGTAACTTCTCTCTAGTTTTCTAGAAGTTTTCTTGTTAGCTTGTTACGCATTATATACTCTAGAATTGCTTTGTATTGTGAATTGTGAAAACACTGTAAATCTAGGGAATATTTTAAAAATTGATGTACTACATCAGCTGGTGGCCGGCTAAGTGAGGAGAAGTGGGAAATGAAATCTGTCATTTTTCAATCATCTGTTAAATTCAGCTATGGAAAACCATCAGTCTGTGATGGTAATTGGTGGCCTGTGTAAAACAGATCTTACTCTGTTGCTCAGGGTCTCACTGCACAGTCGCTTGATGGCAAAACAAAGAGATAAAAATCTGCTCCCTCTCGTTGCAGGCAGTTTGGCAGCAAGCTCAGGGGGTGCAGGCGGGTGCGAAAGGTGCACTTGTGGCACGAGGCAGTCTCTCAAGCTGGGGGTCCACCCCGGTGTGCATCAGTTCACGTTCCTCCTCTTCTCTCTCTGTCTCCCAGAAGGAGATGATTTCTATCTCTAGGAAGTGTTGCAAAAGCACCAAATCTTTATACTTACATTAAAAAAAAAAACATGGGAAACAACATAAACCCTCAAACTAGAAGTGTAGTCTCTATGTATTAACACAGCTTGGAGTTTTACAGTTGTATTATTCTTTAAAGGCCTGAAATGCAAAATACTGAGGGACCTTCCTTTATTGCACTCAGGTCACATACATCCTGGTGTTATGCCTTTTGCAGCCTGGCATAATATTGCATAGAACAACAACAACAAGTCTACTTTCCTGTAATATGAATTCACAAATGGCAGCAGTTCAGCGTGTTTCCTTTGTAGATGTTAGCACCTCGGAGAACTTTCCATATTGAAAACTCTTTAATTTAGAATGTTAGCAAATGCTATTTATTAAAACCGTATATGTTATGAAGACTCACAAGTCATATAATGTGTTCTAGGTTTTTTGCAGATGTGACTTATTACTATAGAGACATTAAAACTGAATAGTCTATGAACTATGATTTAACATCACTTTCTCTTGTCATACTTTATCCATCAAAATACGTTCAGAATCTGGTTTTATCATTAATTTGGTCCTAATAGTAGGTTTTGTACCTGATCATTTTCAATATTTAATGCAGTTCATATCATGTAATTTCAAAGTATTTTTATCGGTATTTTAAAAAATAACAATTCTTTTATTAGAATATTCTTTCTCCTGGTTTTTAACAATCTAAAATTGATGTACTGCAGTGCACTTCTGGGAAATATGCCAACAACTGTGGGTTGTAGTTTCAGGATGCCTGTTCCTAGTTCATACGCACTCTCAAGTGTTTGTTGTAAGGGGCGCGATCCTGTTTTCAGAATTCTTGGTAGTGCAGCACTGGCCTGATACACAGAGTGATGGTAAGACAGAGTCTGGCAGCTGTAAACATGAAGTGCAAGGGCCCGTATTTAAAAATAACCAAGTACTCCAAATAGAACCTAGTTTTTCAAATCGGTTCAACACTATTTAAACCTATGCCATAGGTTTCAAATGCTTGCTTAGATGATAAAATTTGATCCTTGTTGTTCAGAGTGACAAGAAGTCACTTAAGCAGTCGTTTCTGATGTTCATTGTGTCAGGGCTGCTCACACCAGAAGCCCTGTACTGTCCCCCTCCCCTCCCACGTTCTTTAGAGGTGGGCTTGTTTTACTGCCAGCAGCTGGTATGGCTGGTGGTCACAAGGACTGCAGCTGAACAGCTTGAAATGCAATGAGCTCTTGTAGACGAAACGTGGGCAAGGAGCATTTGAATACTGGCTCTGACACAACGTTCCTCTTCAGGCACAGTTGGGACATTTAATCTCTCGCCTTGCGATCGCCACGTGTAAAATGAAGCAATGCCTGCCTACCTGTCTCACAGGAGCACAGATGATTGACTCGTGCTTGTGAAGTGATACAGGAATGCACTGAATGCACATCAGAGCCATCTGATCTCCACATATATATGGGGAATTGTTCTTGGAAAAACCTAAAAATATTAGCAGCTGTGTTCATGTGTGTAGGGTAGTACCATAATCAACTCTTGTAACTGAAATGAGGGATATCATATATCAAGATGGTGCTGGAGCCTTTCAATGTCCTCCCAGTGACTTTGAGAAAATTAGCCATTCCAAAGGCAAATGTATTGCTTTTCAGAAATATTTTTGTAATCCCCTGTGCGAAGGCTCACATGTTTCTGAGTGCTCTCCAGCCCTTAACCCTGGCTCCCTTTGTGCTTTCTTGTGTTCCTTTCAACTGGCCAAACCTGCAGCATGACAGCAACAACAGCTGGCGTGAATTTGTTGAAGTCATTGGTATTCACTGGTAACTTTAAAAACAGGAAAATCACTCCTTTTGTCAAATTACACACATTTCATAGTAGGATTTTAGCAAGATTTCAAGGATGCTGCTGTCCTGTGTAAAATGAGATGAATTAGGCCCCTGTTGTGTTGGGTTCACTAAAACCACAGGACTATTACTGTATGATTTTTTTGTGTGTGCAGCACGTTGACATACATATTTTGCTTCTTTTAGAAGATAAAGGGAAGGCAAAAGCCAATAGTGCAAGTCAGCAGTCCAGCACAGAAGTGGGTCCTTTCCTTCCCAAAGCTGGAGTGGCAGCAGTGGCACCTGTAACACCTGCCTCATCCTCCAAGAGCACGAATGGAGCTCCGAATGCAGTTTCTGAGTCAGAAGAAGAAAAAGCCAAAAAACTACTTTACTGTTCATTATGCAAAGTGGCTGTGAATTCCCTGTCACAACTAGAAGCCCACAATACAGGTGAGTATGCATACAGTGCATACAGTTGTGTGTTACTGTTTTTAAAATTCAGTGTAACAAGCTGGTTTTCTGACACTGGGGTAGCCACGCTTCGCTGAAGAGGCTTTTAGTCAAAACTTAAAATGGCAGGTTACAAAAACATTTCTGTTAATGACAGTTTCATGTATGGTGTTTGATATTTTATTAAAGCTCTCTCTAATTTTTTTTGAACTGTCCTTCATGTACTCTGTAAGCTTTTAGTTGACAAAAATCCCTACAGTTCACGTTCCCTAATCAGATTCCATCATACCTCCATAGTGAGGATCATAGTATGATCATAGTGGTTTGTGTAACACTAAGGTTTCTAAAATGTCAGTTCTCTCTCTCTCTCTCTTTAATATTTCATTTCACTATCTCTGGTGTCTGGGTTTTTGCTGGTACAACTTACAGTAATTTTTATTATTTGATATTTTTGATAATTGTAGGGTGGGCTCCTTAGAATTCCTAGATGTCCTAGAATCTTTTGATTATCGCAAATTAGATATGCTCCTTTTAAAAGGCCACAAGCAGCAATCCCTAATGCGCTCTGGCTGCTCTGTGATGTGCTGGTGATGTAAAGCTTGTTAACAAACCATTGAAGCTGGTTTTACAGCTGTAATCCATTCTTGAAACGGCCAAAGCAGCCATTTCTTTCTAATCAGAGGATACTTATTGAAGTATTCCTGTTCCTAGGCAGGTTTTGAGTGATTGCTATGGTTCCTCTCCCACTCGGCTTGGCCCTTTTTCGTGTTTCACCAGCTATATGGATTTTGGCAGAAGAATAAGCAACGAACACCTTGGCCATACAGCCACACACTGCCCTCAAACAGAGAGGCAGTGATCCAGCGTGCCTGTTGTTCCCTTTTTGTACAAACTCCTCTTCCATTGTCTGGCTTCCCTTTAGATCGAGGAAGTGGGAACTACGCCGGCCAAAACCAGAGTCATCATTAATCCTGATCTGTGGTGACTTTAACCATTCTATCTTGAAGATAAATGTGTTACAAAAAGTCCCAAGGCTAATGGACTTGCTTCTGTGTTGCCGATCATTAAGTCTGTCTCCTTGCGCATTAGGCTCCAAGCACAAGACCATGGTCGAGGCTCGGAACGGTGCTGGTCCCATCAAGTCTTACCCTAGACCTGGATCCCGGCTGAAGGTGCAGAACGGCAGTAAAGGCTCAGGACTGCAGAACAAGACGTTTCATTGTGAAATCTGTGATGTCCATGTTAATTCAGAAATCCAACTTAAACAGGTGGCTTGCATGTATCTGGGGCTCCTTTGCTGTTTTTAGTTGCATTGCAAAATTGTAGGTGGGACGTAGGTCTGTGCGAAGATGTTTTGGCAAAAAGTGAACTTAGTATTTCTTTTCTGTCATCCTGCAACTATTTCTAAATAATTCACTATAGATCAGGTTCACCTAATTGTTGCAGCTGGGAAAAAATGAGGTGAGAGTCATAAAGCAGAGGTGGACAAGATGTCAGTATCAATGAATAACATAGCAGATCTAGTTTAAAACTTTGCTGTGGCTCGAGAGAGATTTGAACTTTGGTCTCCCAAGTGGAAGAAATCCTGGGTTGAGGTTCCCTGAATTCCGCTTTTGGTGCTGTTTCAGTCTGCTGGAATACTTCTTAATACTATGTGAGAAGGAGAATGTGACATGAATCTATTGGTTTAGGACAATCAACAGGAGGCTAATACTGCAGATATGTCTGAATATAACAGCGTAGCTGTATGAACACACAGCTCTGCTCTGTCCGAGCCAATTCGCCCTGGGTTCAGAGCTCTGCCAATACAAATACGTTGTTTCTGATACCCAGATGGGAATCTCTAACTCTATGGTGCTGTGCTGTGTGGATGTGTCCTCTCATTCCCTGTTATTTCAGTTATCTCTAAGATAGTATTAAATTGCATGGTGTAGGCATATCCCTGGGTACTGGTTCTTCCTTCAGCTAATATTGAATTATTTATACCACTGAACAGCAACAGTGAGACTGAAATTTACCTCCTACTTCTGAATATCCCAATGACCTAGCGGTGTTACAGCTCTGCCGGGTTCAAAGCTCCTCAAGTGGAAAAGGGAAATACCAACCAAAATATCAATAATTTGCAGAGCCTCTCTCGGATCACAGAATTCACTGTGTTTGATTAGTTTCTGATTTCCTATTTGATGTGCTCCAAATTGTTATGTTTCATTTAGCAAAACTCATCTTTGCTCTCTCTAAAGAACCTACTTTATCTTACAAACAGGGGCTTAGGCATATCCTGCTGATAAATCAATTTCAAACTCAAAACTGAGAAATGTTTAAACAGCTAATTAAATGTGAGGATATTTATTTCAGCACATTTCCAGCCGAAGGCATAAGGACAGAGTTGCAGGAAAGCCTATGAAACCTAAATATAGTCCTTACAACAAACTGCAGCGCAGCCCAAGTATTTTAGCAGTAAGTATTTTTATTTCTCATCGCTGTCTACGTGAATTTGTGACCTTGGGGACTCCCACCGCACAGAGACAGGAACAGGACAGACCTGACACTTCCGCAGCGTTTCTCCCCCTGCAGGCTGAGTCTGCACGGGGATCACATTTGACGATGGCTATGTATTCTGTCTGCCCAGTCAAAGGCACGCAGACAGCACTGCGAGTGTTATTTACTGCTAGGAGGAAGGGAATAATCAGTGGAGTGGGGAATGAACCATGTGCTCCGTGGAAAGGTATCGGCTCTACTGGGCTCGTGCACTTCTCCTTGAAGGCTGCAATGTATATACTCTGTCTTCCTGGGCACCTGAGATAACTCTCAGTTATGACAGATGCAGCCAGGGAAAAGGACATAAGATGTTAAGGTATAAAAATACTAATACTCATTCTCCACATACAGCAAAGCAGAGTGTTATGTGCATGTATTATGTTGGTGCAAAAGAGTGCTCAGGTGTTTAGGAGAATTGATTGCCTATCTGCGTGCTGGGGCTGTGTCTGTCACCAGCTACCAGAACACCTCTCCTGCCTTTGTGCCCCCAGCCGTTCCTCTTTCACACCCACCTGCATTTCCAGGAATTCCCCAAGCTGGTTCTGCCAGCTGCAGCCGGAGTTCAGGCTGGCTCTAGCACAGCACAGATTGTATGTTTATTTGCTCATGACTCAGCCTGTATTCTGTTCATTAGGGAAAAGTGCATACCACCTACGGCACAAAAACAATTTATAGGTTGGAAAGACAGAGATGCAAATGTGTGTGTGTGCAACAGTAAACACGTGCAAAGCCTTTAAAAGCTGAAATATATTAATATGTCTTTGTAATTGTACAGAGGCAATTGAAAATGCTGCAGGCTTTCTCTAAGTCTCCCCGTTCGATAGGTTCTGCACACAGTAATCTTCTTCATTCACATAATACATCATTTTATAATCTATTGCGCAAGGAGAGACCTCCGCTAATAAAGGAAGGACGTGAGCATCTTTCCCCCCACAACTGCGTGATTGTGGTGCACAGCATTTTCAGTGAGACTGTAGTGTATATATTTCTGGTTAGCATTTTCACCACAAGCACCAGCAACCATTGTAGATTATAAACTGAGTAATAATTCTTTCAGAAAGAATTCTTTGTGGTATTGATCTTAAAAAGTATTTCTATTTTAAAAAGAACAGCTCTGCATTGGCAAGTACCGAGCTGACTGGACTAACAGTACTTTCCCATCTTGACCACTCTACTTTTCTACAATTCTTTTTTGCAAGTGGAAAATTTGACTTTTGACATTGAAGTCTTAATCATGTTTTTTAATGTTTCTTGCACAGTTGTGATTTATAAAATTTGATGTTGTTCACTTGCAAATTATGCTTCCTTTTAAACGTCAGTGTGACTGTCCCTACACTCAAGAGATTTATATATCTTTAAATACATAATTTGGTTGCTTTAATTGCCTTGGGAGTAAGAAGACAATGTGGGTAACATTTCTAAGCAGCTGACATGAGGCTTCTGTGAGAAATCATGGTGTGCCCTTTGTCAGGGTTCATTTTTTCCATCATGTAAAAGTAGGCGCGGGGAGAACTGTATTTACGTTGCTTTTTTATGTGTTTTATTCCAGGCAAAACTTGCATTCCAGAAGGACATGATTAAGCCGCTGGCACCTGCTTTCCTTTCATCTCCTCTTGCTGCGGCTGCAGCTGTGTCGTCAGCTCTGTCCCTTCCTCCCCGTCCCTCTGCCTCCTTGTTCCAGGCGCCTGCAATACCACCAGCTCTCCTCAGGCCAGGCCATGGTCCCATCCGTGCAACACCTGCCTCCATACTTTTTGCACCGTACTAATTTATTGATGTGAAAATGAGATAACTATGGCCAGTAGGAATGGTAAAAAAAAAAGCAGGAAAGGGGTCCAGATTTTAAAATGTATTTTTCTTTTGAAATGCCATCCAGCGTGACACCTCAGCCACCCACACCGTAAAATCCATCATTGCGGGTACGGCATTTTGGAGTCTAGACAACTGTCTTTCTCAGTCTCTCTCTGTCTCTCCTTTTTTAATCCAAATAGAGAGTGATATAGTAAAAACTTAATTGCTCATAAAATTTATACCATTAAAGATTCATGCATCTTTTTTTTCTTTTTTCTTTTTTTTTTTTTTTTGCAATGTGTACAATGCACCTTGGAATTAAGGAACGTAAAATATTTTCCTGACAGACTTGAAAACTAGGGTCTTCCTTGCTCACACTTATGTAAATACTTCTCTGAAAAGCGATGGGGTATAATCTAATGTGGGAAAAAAGGCAGATGAACCAAATGCTTGATTGTGGATAACATCTCAAAAATGAATTGTGTCCTTTTTTTTTTTTTTCAGTGTGCTCTTGTTGACAGGGATTGTGTACTGTCCTAGGCCCCAGTACTGGTGTATCTTGTGTAGTACTAAAGTATCACATGTCTGATTTCAATATTTTTAGTTTCTGTGCAAATGTTTGAAAGCAATGCAGCGCTGAAGCTTTTAATTATTTCTTTTGTGTCACACTTTATTTAGAGAAATTAAAAATAGAAAGCCATATAACATATAGTTAAGATTACTACTTGTTTGCTACTTTCATTTAACTTATTTTTGTTGTTTCCTTACTGGTGTTGCTAAGCAATGTTTAAAGAGAAAAAAAAAGCTTTTCAATTGCACATTACCACAGCTCACATGCGTTGTTCAAGATGACAATGGATCCATGTATTTGTACGTAAATATCTTTTTTTTTCATTTCTAACTAGTTTCCTTTGTAACGATGCTGCATAATGTTGTGGCTCCCTAATGCAATAATGTACAGAACATAAAATATTTATAATTGACCGTATTCTCTGTTTTCTGAATATATTGCAGTAATGCCCCACCTATCTTCTTACCTCCCCAACCCTTTTATAAAGGTGATATCAATATGCAGTACTCAGACTGAAGTCATTATGTGATAATGGGGACAACAGGTGGAAGAAAGGGAAAAAAAAAAAAAAAAGAATTAACTTTTAGAGCATCTTTATCTGCAATCCATAATAGTAAAATGTCTGTGTATTTTTTTAAATGTACCTTTTCAATAAAATAATAAGAAAATTATACATGGTTCTTGTGTCTGTTAATTGGTACAGAAAAAAAAGGCTGAAACAAACAAATTTAGCTAAAGGAGTCTTCAGGAGCAGGCAAAGCATTACAGTTGCAATAAAGTATAATTACAGAACCTATGTTTACTTCCCTGGTGTTTTAATGTCTTTTCCTTTCTACATCCTGTTACAGCCTTTACTGGGGCTTTTTTGCAGTAAGACTGTAAACATTCACTACACTGGAGATTCAGAGGAAGAAGCAGTAGAGCCAGGTGGGTGATTATGGTTTTATTATTGCACCACCAAGATGCTATAACATGGTTATGCCATCTCTGATGGAGATTAAGAATTAACTTTAAAACCAGCCAGGGCATACCTGAGGCTGGAAGCAGGTCACTTTGGAGCCAGGACTTGCTCTGAAGCCTGGGCAAAGTAGGCAGCTGCTTGACGCAGCAGGCTTTTGAAGGCAGGTGTTTGGGGAAGCTTTGAAATGATCTTTTTCCCTGCTGAAAAGCTTGATCTATTCTGTAAAAATCTTTTCTTTGTTAATACAAAGTGAATAGTAAAGACTAGAAGAGTGAAAAGATTCAACTGTAAGGCTGTTAGGGTTAATACAAAGCTGACAGGACCATTACAAATCCACAAAGGCCAAGGAATAAAAATTCCAGGAACTTTTATAACAGAGAATTTACAGATCAACATATACATCATAGTTGCAACGTATTAGAGGCCATTTTCTGCAAGTGTACTTCTGCCCAGTTTCCGCCCACTATTCAGTGGAGCAGTTGACTGTACTGTGAGAGGACAATTCACTGGAGAATTACCTGCAAAGGGGTAGGTAAGGGAGTCCGGGCTTTTAGCATCCTCTGGGGAAGCAGGTACGGTTGTATTAATCCTGTGGACAGTGAGAATTACACAGTGGTAGTATGGGTGGACACTCCTCCATGCGCATGTGTTTGTGTCTGATTTTCTAACTCATGCTCGTAGGGAGTCAGGTTTAACTGCTCGGCTGCTTTCAGAGGAGTTACTTGCTTGAGGAGCCTGTTTCTGTCCAACATGACATAGGTTTACACAACTGTGTATTTTAATTGGTTCTTCAGAAAACAAGAGTTGTCTATGTATTAAAACACTATTTTACCTGATGTTGTCAATGAGAAATTTAAAGCAATTACAAGTTCCTGGATAAAAATTTAGGTCACTATGAGTGAAAGACTGTGTTGTGTCATTCAGCAATGAGAGGAATTACTTAACCTGTGAAACACAAGGAGCTAAAACACTATGATTGTAAGCCAAGGAAGACTCATGTTCAGATTCATATTCAACACCCTTTGTACTCTTTGCTGTGTTAACTTCTATTTTGTGTCCTATAACTCCATTTACCACCAAGATTTTGTCCATGACATGCAGGACTGAGCATTTGAGATGATAATTGCATGATAAATGGCAAAACCTCTCATTATGCCTGCTGGGATCTCGCGTTTTAGAAATGAGCTCTACATGAGAAGGAAAATTTGTATCATACTTGCATAAAGGCTATCGGCTGCTTTTTTGATATGTTAGGATGTTTTCTCCGGAGATGTAATATCATTACAGGCAGCTGGCTATAAAATTCATGGATTTGTTATAGCAAAGAACTAGTACTGAAATACAATATTTGCAATGTGGTTACCATTTTGAATAAATATATTGAACGTGCAAACCAATAAGGTAATAAGGTTAAAGTAATAGGATCACATCCTCTTGTATGTCTGTTATTCTAGGTCTGTTCATTGCACTCTGAGCTGCAAGTTATTCCTGTATGGGAAGTCAGAAGGGGCACTGTGTTGGTCAGGGATTATCACCTGGCTCTGCCATCTTTCTGCAGCAGAAGAAAAAGGATCCAGAGTGGACACAGACATGTCAGCAGGGGCTTTCTGCTGGTGTCTGTGGCTGGATCATGGTCCCCGTACTGCGAGAGATTTCCATAAAGGGTATCAAACAGAGGACATGGTCCAGTAGTCTATACAGATATATTCTTTTAATAAAAATAATAGAAACAGAATCTTCTATGACCACTGCAGGATATTAGGATGTGTGCCTCTTATTTCTGCAGGTTGAAACGATAATAAAATCTTTCCCTCTGATTTTGGTCAGATAGCAGAAGGAAGAAGACAGATGCTAGCACACACGTTGCCCTGTCCATATCACCACTTGAACTCTTATGGTAATGTTACACTGGGTCCATCTACTGATAAACTAATAAATGTTTCCTGTAAGAAAGAGATTATTTCATTAAAAATAAATTACCTTATTTCACTCCCTTTCTCTGTGATCTTGGACTATAAATTTTATGCTCAGAAAAGTTTTAAAAAAAAAGTTGTGACATTTGTCTGAAAATAAGAGAGCGTGGTAGTTTAAAGCTCTGCGGGAAGTATTTCACTATCTTTATGTATCTGGCAATAACCCAGTGAGACCTCACTGTATATCTTTTGAACATGTCACCTTGAATAAGTGAGGTACTGTACTATTTATTCATGCTTGGCTGCACAGTAAATCTCCACAGCTGTCACCTTCTGGTCACAGTGGTCATGATGATTTTCTTACTATGCCAAGTATATTCTTTTAAGCATTTTTTTTCTTAACATTCTCGTTTCAAGTGACATCCTGAGTATCCTCAAGTATTTATTGGTATGAGCAGCATTTCAGGTAAAACCACATATATGGTTTTGAGTATCTAGAATTCTTGAATATTACGGTTTTTGATTAAAGTAACATTGATGTTAAATGTTTCTATTTGGTTTAGTTGCCTAGTCATATTTATTTGTATTGATAGAGTACTGTGCTAGATGCTGAATGCCAAGCACCAGAAGCGGAGGAGGCCGAATCGAACCTGTCGCCTTTGAAAGGCTGCAGTTGAGGGAGCTCCCCGGCAGCTGGAAAAAGCACAACTTTGTGCCTTTCAAAAATGGCAAGAAAGAGGATCCGGGCACATGAAAACAAGTAGGTCATTGGGATTAGCCAACATGGGTTTACAAAGGCAAAATCGTGCCTGAGCAGCCCGAGTGCTTTCTGTGGTGAGGTGCCTGTCTGTGCAGACAAGGGGAGCGGCGGGAGCTGACTACAGTCAGGCTTTTGGCAGTCTCTCATAGGATCCCTGCAAGC